AACATTGTGATGTCCAAGTGAAGTAGCTTGGCTTGAGGTTTCAATCTGCTGAGAGAAGGTCTGTATCTTTCTGCAGAAGAGCCAAGAGAAGTGGGGCCCATTGTGTTTGGCTCGAGGAAACATTGATTTAGTTCTCCTGGGATGCATCAGTGCAAGAATTTAGAACGCCTTTCCTGACCAGGCAAGGTTTGTCAAATCACTACTGGCAAACGGATGTGCTGTCAGATACCATGGCATCGATGAGTCCGACCCATTGACTGTGTAGGTCCTGATGCCATTTTTCCATCATAGAATTCTGAACCTGTCCAGGAGCAGTTAACATGTTGATTGTTTTAATAGTGTTGAGTATTGATGATTCTCCAACAACAAGCTGGAAGACCCCTTCCATTCCATGTCCAGTCATCATACTTTCAAAGGCGATGAGAGAGGCTAAAGACATGGGACCCAGAGGCATATTGACTCAGTCAAATCGAGAATAGAGACTGGGGGAATCCATTCAGTCCTCTTCTGCATGCCAAATTCAATGGGCGGGAGTGTAGTGTGATGTTTTAGGTGGTCGTCTCCATGAAAACCCCTGTAGGCATAGGGTCTTTGGTGTTCCTTTCCCAGTCCATCATGAGCCGGATCCTGTCCAGCTCCAGTGTGGTTGATACCTCCAGCCGAGGGGCGTTCTGTAAGCTTGGTCTTTTCTTTGGTTTTCCCAATGTGCTGAGGAGCTCCTGGAATTGAATGCGGTCAATGGTGCTGAGTCATGGTTGTAGGATCAGATTGGTGGATGATTGGATCAGATTCAAAAGAAGGCTTGTCTGAAGCCTTTGTGGACTGAACAAGGATGTTGGTGCTGGCGCTGCTGTTGTTTGAAGATGAAGAATGCTGGAGCAGAGGAAGCGTCTCAAGGTCCATCAAAGTGATGGAATCGGAAAATCAAAAGCGTGGGCACGCACAAGGGAGAGGCTAATGGCACAATGGCAGGAGGAGCTTAACGGAGGACAGCGTGGCAACAAGAGGAGGAGCTTGATGACCCGTCAATCGAGTCAATTGAAAATGGAATTTATGAGCTTTATCACTTTGCGAGTTGCTTGAATCCTTCAAACAACCAACTGTTTGAATTACATGCGAATCGCTTGTTTGAACGACACGAGAGACCGATCGCGATCTCTCCGAATCGCTTTGTTTGAACGACACGAGAGACCGATCGCGTATCTCTCGTTACGGAGCGTATCGATTGCGTACAACTCCGTACCGTGGATTGAACCCTTCAAAACGACAAACAGCAAGCCACACAAACGACGCATGCCTCCTGGGTAAGCGGAGACCAACTGCTGATCGATCAACAACAAGGAACGATCTATCGCTCGACGCGTATTGTTGTTGTTCTTCGGCGTTAATGAAAAAGTGAGGAAACTTCACTCGAAGCATGACTCAGGTAATTTGAACCGAGTAATAGAGGGGTGAACTCGAGAGAAGATATAACCACAAGCATGACTCGAAGCCTGACAAACAAGCCGACCTATATATGCAGTCGGAGCTCATTTTTCGATGAAATCTGTTAACTCGGATTCTGTTTCTGTTAACTCGGCCGAACGATCGATCCATGCTGCAAGCTCGAGCATGGCCAAGGTTTCGCCAGGTGATAGAGATAATAGTAGTAGCAGTAGAAGCGAACGATATAACAGAAGCAGTACCAGTAGTGGTTCCTTGCATCGATCGAGTAAAGGGTGGCTCCCATAGGAGTCCATTGTGGCCAAGGGTGTGATTGCTTACGAGCGAATGCAAGAGATCCTATCACGGTCGGTGACAGGATAAAGAAACAAGAGGTTGCTTACGAGCGAACCCAGCAGGTTGACAAGCGGGATTGCTTGCGAGCGAATCCAAAGGAATTAAGTTGCAATAAGGGTGAAGGACTACCGATGAAGAGTGCAAGAGGAAACTCTGAAGCAATCTGCATCAAGGATACGACATTCCATTGACAACCAAAGAGGATAGACATATAAGTAAAAATGAGTAACATCTCATAACCCTCGCATTGCTACCATGCGACAATACGATTGTGTACTGATTAATCTAACGATCTAAGAGATGTAAAGTTTGCTATTTCCAATTAAGTGAGCAGTTATTGATTATTTTCTAGAATAAGCCTGCTAATTGTAAAGCTGTTAAGCTGAATTGTAACTGTTAAATCCCGTCGCAGGTTCCCTTGCACTCATTCATCCTGGCCTAATCCTCAGACGGAGATCTCTCCATCCGAATGATTGAAGTCGAATTTGGCAAGCGCCTTGTCAACAGAGCCATTCTTCTTGTCCATCATGTGATGGATCAAACAGAGGAGTCGTCCTCGTTGTCGGAGTTTGTCATGATTGCGCTTTGGCAACATGGTTGGCATTCGCTTCTCTTCTTGCGATCAGCTTGACCGCAGCGTTGGGAAACCTCCTCTTCATGACGGACAGAGAGTTGCTTCGTTGGTGTAGGTCTTGGCGTCGTCGGACTTGCGTTTCCAAGTTTTTCTTTGTGTACGCTGGCTTGTTATCGTTGTCAGGACGAGGACTGAGACTTTGCTTTGAGCTTCTTCAGAGTCATGCAGTTAGCAGTGGTTGTGAGTGCTGGCTCGTGTAGTCTACACCATTTTTTCTTCGTTCTTGGAAGATGTGATCGTTGTTGCGAGTAGATTGTACTTCTGCTGTTTGTCTTCTTCGAAGGAGCTTGCTTGGTATCACCGCCCTTGTCAAAGTCTTTCGTGGATTCCATGCGTTCAGCAAAATCAATGGTTTCTCCGATAGGTGCTTAGAAAGGATCGAAGTTGTTTTCGTCCATCTTCTTCATCCACGAGCGTGGATTCCATGACAAACATGTCAATGACTCGTCATGGTTCAACGTTTGGTGTGGCTCCAAAAGGTGGTAGACGAAGAAGTTCATCGGTGTCATCCGACTGAGGTTGTTGACATAAGCACGAGTAGACATATCAGCAGGCTTACGCATCTTGGGGCGCATGAAGCGTTTCTGCTTTTCAAGAGCCTTGTAGGGACCAGACCGCTTCGACGCAGGCATTTTGCCAGAACGTAATGTTCAGAGTCGTCCAAAGGGGCTGAGCTGCTCCGTCCCAGGCATTCTTGAAACGTGCTTGGAAAGTGGCTTCGTCTTCACCACCACGTATGTCGCGTGAGGAATGCCGTTGACTGCAATCTGGCGCAAGGCATTCCAACGTAGTCACGGTGGCCTGCACAGCTAGATTCGTAACTGCTCTTTGCAGAGCTAGAAGTCATCTCCTTGAGGAGGTTATGTTTGTCGCTAGGCGTAGCAATGGCGAGCCCAACGAAGACCTTCTCCATGCGTCCAGCCCACTTGATGGTCTGACGTGGAGTCTCAGATCCATTGATGATTTGGACCTTGAAGGTGTACTTGGCGCTGTTGGCATCTGCTGGAACAGTGCGAAGTTTGTAGGTGGTAGAGCGAGAATCGTCGATTTCGCATTCATCGTCGAGGTCGATGAGAGGAAGGATTGGTTTGTCGCGCAGCTTAGACTCAAAGCTGGTGTACGCGTCTTTGGCAATCTTCATGGTGAAGGAATAGGTTGAGGGTAGCTGAAAGCTATTGTGTTTGTTAACAAAATGCACTACGCTAAAAGCTAGTGTAAAGATCTTTCGAGTGTTTTGAGTTTGAGAGAATGAAAGTTATGAGAGGATTAGAAAGCTATGAAAACTAATCAACGAGAGAGGTCCACAATCAAAGGATCGTAGATCTGAACTCCCGCGGGAGACTGTAGAGTGTGATAGAGTAGGTTGCGGTAGCAATCCTACTCACTCCACGATCCAAAAACGGAACGCGTGGAAGATTCGTCTAGCATTTATCTAGTAGCATGGAAGTACTCCACGCTGGCTAAATGTCTAGAGCGATGTTTCATCATCAACCTAGTATGACTAGAGCGGTCATTGAGAACCCTGTCTCAATGACTATTCACGAGAGACTCAGTCATGAGTCGAACTCAAACCCTATCTAGGATCGAGTCGCAAATAAGGCTAAGAGCCGTGTATTGCAATGGATAGCGAACGTGAGTTCCGCGCAGAAGTCGAGAAGACACTCCGGGATGAATATGGACTTCGTCGCAAGTTCATTACCACACGTGTTCAATCGTGACGCCATTCACAACGTCCGTTTCGAAGTAAACTGGAAACACATCAAAGAACGTCGCCAACGACTCATCCAGAAACACACTGATAAGGAAAACGCGACGCGTGTCCCTCATCAATACAATGTCAACGATACTGTGAGGTTTCAACAGTATCAGCACCGCAAGTACGGTCAGCCAAAGTACAAATGTCCTTACATATGGACCGAGTCAATAACAATGGCACTGTACGGCTCCGACATGCTACCGCCAATGGCGGCACAGTCTACCAGACTTGGAACATAAGGTATTTACACCCATACAAGGCCGGATCCCCTAGTAGGATTGCCATCGTGCGACGCACATGTCTACATCCAATCCCCGGAGAGTGCCCCGCACTTTAATTCATATGTTCTCCTTGTCCGACTGCTGTCGTGCCTTCTGTGACCCTTGTCAGGGGGCGAATGCAATACACGGCTCTTAGCCTTATTCGCGACTCAATCCTAGATAGGGTTTGAGTTCGACGCATGACGTAGTCCTTCGCGAATAGTCATTGAGACAGGGTTCTCATGACTGCTAGTCATACTAGGTTGTCGATGAAACAACGCTCTAGATATTTAGCCGGCGTGGAAAGCTTCCACGCTACTAGACAGCTACTAGCTGAAGTTTCCACGCGTTCCATTTTAGGATCGTGGAGATACGTAGGATTACTACCGCAACCTACTCTATCACACTTTATAGTCTCCCGCGGGAGACCAGATCTACGATCCCTTGATGATGATCTCTCTCGTTGATTAGTTTTCATAGCTTTCTAATCTCTCTCATAACTTTCATTCTCTCAAACTCAAAACACTCGAAAGATCTTTACACTAGCTTTTAGCGTAGTGCATTTGTGTTCATGTGGAAACGACGGAACATTGGAAACGAATGGGAAGGCCTGCTGGAGGGATTCGCTTGGATCAAGATGGCAAAACAGGAGCATCAGAGGATTATGGAGCAGAGGGAGAGAGCATGCGAAGACGAGGACGAGGATTACTGCCCCATGGATGATGCCTTGGAGGACGAGAAGGCAGAGAAGACTGCCGCTGAGGATGGAGAACCAAACGACTATGACCAGTTTGCGAGTTTTGGAGATGAGGAGCACACGCCGCAGCTGGATGCCAGAGCAAGCAACGACAACAACGACGACGACAATGTAGAGGGTAGACAGGAAGCGGAGAGTGAAGAAGACAAACTACTGGAGGACTTGGCATATGAGGTCATTGGTGAAATGTTAGCTGGAGGGGCTGTCGACAGAGCACTTTTCTTTGAGGGAGGTGACGAAGGAGGAAACAATGGTGGAGGCATTCAAAGAGCAATTTTGTGACTCTTCTACTGTCACCGAATTTGCGCATATGGTACTTAGGTAGACAATTAAGCAAAGTAGAATGGACGACTCAGATGTTGACTAAGTACACTACATTTACAATAGCCGTTTTGGTAAATCGGGGGAGGTATACATAGAACAGATGGAAATTTCTGATCATTAATTACCAATTTATGTTGGGTATAAACCGGTGAATAGATGCAGAAAAGAATTCAACGTCGCCCAAAACACTTAGTGCCTGAGTAGGGTGGGCTAAACAATTTACGTGACTCCTCGTAAGTTGAATTTGGCGAGACCACCGAAAGGACATTCTTTTCGCTTTTTGGAGATGTGACTGGCTGGCGAGCAGTCGCTGATTCGCCAAGAGATCGCTTGTCTCTCAAACAAGATTCAGCAAGCCCTCATAAAAGATGCAATTCATGCCCAAATTTGTGTTTTGTACAAGGGGTTTTTGTCCCGTAGCGACTGCATTGCACTACGGCCCTAATCCAATGTGGGCCAGACCATTTTTCGCTTTTGCCTGTTATTAGCCCGACGAAGCATCAAGCAACGAAAACAACAATGCCCCATGACAAAAAAAAACGAATCCAGCTTGGAGGTACCGCGAACACCCGGCAGGTCGAATCACACTTCGCGAAAAAGTCAGATGACAGGGGAGAATATCCGACAATGGGGACGGTCATTCGGGCGAACAAAATTACGGACAACCCAGGGGGAACCACAACAAATCTCGAGCGAGTGCGTTTTTTGAAGCGGCTATTTGAAAAAGATGCTTGGTAAGTACAGCTCCTAAGTAATTATCAGCCCGCTCACTGACGTTGCAGTCCAACTCTAACGACCCTCCATGGTGACGTCACAGGCTCCATACTCGGCGGTACCCTTTCAAAACTTCATTAGAGCTCAAAATGGGGCTCGCCCACCTTCCCAGACAGGGAATGAAGATGCAGCAGGCCTCTCTGGTATAACCAGGGCCATTGCCTTTGCCTGGATCCTAGTCTGGAGGGGAGGTTTACAACCTCTATAGACCCATATTGACATGATCTTGCTATAGTCTAGTAGCTCTACTGGACCTAAAAAGGAATCTAATGAATTTTTGAAACCGGTCCAAAAAAATCCCAACTTTCCGGGCGCAGCCCGGAAAGTTGGCGGGGAGCCTGGAGAAAAGGAGGAGAGCTGGGAGAATTCGGATAGTTCGTGTTGGAGGTTAGTGCTCTGTTCACAGGTTAGCTTTCCAGGAGTTTTCCACTAGCTTTCAGCTTTGACCCAACACCGTGATGGTTAGCTTTACCAGTTCTCCAGCTAACTTTTATGGCAAGTTGGCTGAAGCAAGCAGTTGGTTTTGGGAAAAGAGCCCTATTTTTGGGTGTTTGCGAGCTATTTGAACAGGCAACGAGGTCTCCCAGTGAAGGCACTGGAGCTACGTGGAGCTCCCAGTGAAGGTACTGGAGCTACATGAAGCTACTGGAGCTATTTGAAAGTGCTCGAGACCTCTATTACTGGTACTTTTCAAATAGAGAAGAGAACCGATAACCAACACCAACAACAAACTTGGCTATTCCTGTTGCTTTTCAAACAGAGAAGAGAACCGATAACCAACACCAACAACACACTTAGTTGATAGCTACTAGCATTTTAGTACTATTCTTCCTGTACAGCAACGAAAATGAGTCAAACAACTAATGCATGTACTAGTCAACCTCTTCGGGAGAAGAAATTGGGAGAAGCACCAACATCTAATGCCACAAAGAATGCTGCTATCAAGCTGTATAACAAATATCAAACTATTCGAAAAGAGCCTATAATGGATCAGACGACTGCTACTTACATTGCAGAGGATAATTTACAGGCGCATCTTACCAAGTTCTGTTCTTGGCTTGCCAATATTAGCATTCCCCGTGGCTTTGATAAAATTGAGTTTCATTCATGGTCAACTCAAGAGCGTAGTAAATATCTGAAAGCATCAACCAAAGTTGAATATGCTGGGAAGGTTAAGGAAGTTTTGAGGGAAAAGTTTCCCAATCATCCTCATTGGAATGGTCACATCGGAGATGACAGCTCTTGGTGGTCCGTCATAAGAAAAGGGCTAGAAAAAGATGCTACAAGAACTCAAAATAATAATGAAGATGAAACGACAACACTGAGACCACTGTACCTTGAAAACTTACCTGGCTATCAACCAGTTGAAGTGCCACACAACAACCCAAACTCCAGAGCTATCAATGGCGATATATCAAAAGTGGATCTAAATGCAATCATTAAAAGCATGATCAAAGAGGATGATACGAGATCCGGATATACTGGTATCTATGAGCAGCGGGCTCAATTACTAATGACATGGCATGCTGTTGCTCGTGGTGGAGAAGCCAAATTCAATTCCTATAGTGACTGGCTTTGGGACCCATACTTTAAAGTAGTGGATACCCAATGGATTGATATCAAAACTATCAACACATACTCCATGCCAATGATGCCACACAGATATAACTACAGAGTATGCTGGTACCATGCCATGGGTTGTTACTATCTCTTGGAAGACGGCTTGTTTAGACGTCCTGATGAGCTCGAACGTGCACAAAGGGTGTTTCCCAAGCTCCACAAAATCAGTGATTCTTCTGTCACAAAGAAGCTTACTGGCACCATTCGGAAGTTCATTCCAGCCAAGGTATCAACTGAAGTTCGCAACAGCTTCTCTGCTAAATCAATGCGAAAGGGAGCAATCAACTTCCTTGCTGCTCATTCAGCAATTGACTATTATGCATCACATGTGCGATCAGGTCACTCATTTGGAACTTCTCAGGAGAGCTACATTGATCGGAATGCATTGGTTCTATCAATTTCAGCGGCAGAAGCTCTAAATGGCTACCAAGAATCTGTATACCCTTGCCCCTACACCCCTCCGAACTTTGAGTGTTCGGGATCTGAAATTGAAGAGAGTGGAATGATTGACAGATTCATTGACGAGTTGTACACAATCTCTGATTAGCTGCCACAATTTCAATCTGGAGGACATCTACGACCTTTTCTTCGCACAGTGACAGCAGTGCTCATTATGTCAATTCCTGCTCTGGTAGATGACTTTGGTGTTACGAACAAAGTATATAGAAAGTATATAGAAAGCTTTTTCAAGCAGCCCAAAGAGCTAAGCTTTTCGATGCAAACAATTCGGACAAATGGGTTCATCCTGGGGCTGTTCTAGAAGGCTGGAGGACGCATATCCAAGACAACTTTAATTTGGAGAATGATTTTGATGCTATGCCTCAAGAAGTAGCAACAGCTACCATGCTAGATCGAGTTGGTTCTCAGTTAGCTCAAATTGAAAAGCAAACCAAGGAGCTGAATCAAGCGCTAGCATTGCAAAGGCAAACTAGCATGCAAAAACAACAACTTGAAGGAATCCTTCTATCGATTCAAAAGGAACAACAAGCAGTGAAAGCAATGGCTAGTCAGAACAAGGAGAAGTTGTCATTTATCAAAACCCCACCAGGAACAACAAGCAGTGAAAGCAATGGCTAGTCAGAACAAGGAGAAGTTGTCATTTATCAAAACCCCACCACGACAAAGAAGACAATTTGCTCAGACTCGCGTGTCATTGCCACCCGTTGCAGCACCACTGCCACTGCCATTGCCACCCGCTGCAGCACCACTGCCACTGCCATTGCCAGCACCCGCTGCAGCACCACAGCCAGTAGCACCACCGCCATCACCACCACCACCACTATCTATATCGCAATCACCATCAATGCTAGCTACCAATCCCCAAGTTGCACGATCACAATTCAGCCAGCTTCCAGAATCAACACAGCAGCAACAACGACTAATACCCATATCACAATCACCACTGCTACCTGCCAATCCCCAAATTACACGATCTCAGTTCAACCAGCTTCCACAATCAATACAGCAGCAGCAACAACCAACGCAACAGCAGCAGCAACCAATACAACAACGACAGCTACAAGCGCCAATATTACAGCGCAACACAAAATCAACCAAAAGATGTCAATGCACTTCTGATGCGCAATCGCCAAGCTCACAGAATAATTCCTCATCATGCAAAGGAATTTTGCTTGAACGACTTCTCTTGGATATAACTCCAATTAAGTGGAACGCAATCAGCCAAATTCCAATACCTGCAACAATGAAAGGAGAAAACAAGGCAAAGTGTATTCATGCTTTACGATTGGCTAAGATTGCTGGATCAGACGAATATAAACTTGCTTTGAGTCCGACTGGAATTGGTGACAAGAGCAAGAGAAAAGAAGCGGCGAGCGGGATAGCACATGCTTGCATGGAGACGCTGCTGAAGTTAGAAATAGAAGTTGGCTTGAAACCAATTGGTAGCACAATTTCATCAAGGCAAAAGGGCACGGTGGTGGCACTCGGAATGCGCTATCAGAAATATCAAACGAAGAAAGATAAGCAACAACAGCTACAGCAGAAATTGCAACGACAGCAACAGCAACAGCAGCAGAGACAACATCGACGGTAGTAATTAGTAGCCATTACATTATTAGTTTGCTACTAGCTAGCTAGCTAGCTAGCTAAAGTAGTTTGTTAATTAGTGATGTTTGTGTTTGTTTGTTACTATTGCTTGGGTGCGACGCCATTGCCTTCATTAGTGGTAGTGGTTGTTACGCCATTGCCTTCATTAGTGGTAGTGGTTGTTACTGCGAGATGTCATTGTCATGCCATATGGCTCGCTCTCTTTGGGAAGAATGGCTTCTATCAGAGCTAGGATGCTCTGGGAGCCCCCCAAGTGCTGCCAGCCGAACAGCACATCCATTGGGCTGGCTCTCTCAACTTTCCAGAGCCTACGTGATTTCCCTGTAGCCCTGGAAAGTTCGCCGCCATACTCAAAAATTGATTAGATTTCGATTTATCCACGACTCGAATCGTCATTCGTCCTGCAGTCTTCCAACTACATGTCACTGTGTTTGTTGCTGTTGCCATTTAGCCGATTGTCATTCTTCTTTTGTTGGCTTTTCCCACCCTTCTTGCCCTTCTTGGACTTGGCCATTCTCTCTTTAGCTAGCTAGCAATGGCTACGGTACTACTACGACACTGTCTCTTGTCTCTATCAGCTACGATAGCTAGCGGTTGGTTGCCTGACCACAGAGACCTCACAGCCACCTACCAGCCCCATGTTTTATCCAAGCTGGTTCCCTAGAAACCTTTGGTACCTGGTACAGTACCGGTACTTTGTTACTGTCGGCTTCTGAAAGAACGATGCGGGTATCTAGTCGTCCACGTGCACGGTGCGGGTGGACATGAAGAGATGGTTACCTATTGTTCATTGGGCTTCGAGTATCCTGGTGAGCAGGGGCGAGCAATCAGGTTGTGCACCACCAGGTACGAGATCATTCAATCTCAAACAAGTTCATGTACTAGTACCTGGTTGTGCGCGCCCCAAGGCTGCCACGAATACGGCACGGCACCGGTACCATAAGAGCTTCTTTCGAGGACCCCGCCGCGGTCAATGCGAAAGTGTGGTGGTGCTCAAAGTGTGGTGGTGCGAAAACTTGCTGGCTTGGAGGGAAAAGCAGGGCCAGGAAGCCTCAAGTCTCTCAATCGAGTAAGAACCTGGCTCTAGCTAGCTACTTGCTAGCTAGCAGCTGGTACTGTAGCGACGGGAATGGCTCAAAGCAAAGGTCATTAAACACTCAACAAACACTGAGTCATTCCTTGCGTCCTTTGCAGACTTGACTGGCTGGCCTGCTCAAACCAACAACCTGAGGATTGCTCATACATGTACTGCTGCGAGGCACTTGGGGCACTACCAGTACGACTGCGCCTAGCAGCGGCCAACAATAGATCTAGCTGTGGCCGCTCGTGACCGACCTAGAAGCAAACGTGGGCTTCAGACACCCGTGCCAAAAGCAATCCACTTGGGAGGCAGTGGCTGAGTGCAAAACAATATATCCACGGCTCAAAATTTGGAAAACGGAAGATTTTGCACGGAACCTATACTAGTATGGCTGACAAAGCTTTGAAGGCTTCCCACTCTGCGGGGGGTGCAAGGCCAACCGCAACATGGAAGGCAAAAAGCAGCAGCGTTGGAGGAAACCCAACGCCGTTCAGCACATGAAGGCCCTGCGACCAAATCCGGTTGAAATGATGATTTGGCCCTGCCACTTGTTCAGGACCTCTGTGGAAACGTCATTCGTGGCAAAATACTTAGGAGACGATACACCGAGGCATAGGAGACGATTGAAAGGATTTAATAGACGAAAGCAATCGTCTCCTATATTTAGGAGACGATTCAGTAGGAGACATTCCAATTAGGAGACGAAAATTTCGAAATAGGAGACGATCCTAAAGATTTAGGAGACAATACCATACAGTTTACATGGTACACTTAGGAGACGATCCGTTGAGAATAGGAGACGATCCGTTGAAAATAGGAGACGATTCAAGAGGAGACGAAAGATTTAAGAGACGATCCGTTTCGTCTCCTATTTTTAGGAGACGAAATCCCTTAAATAGGAGACGATCAAAAGGATTTAGGAGACGATCGGTTGCACGACTCGAGTTTCCACAGAGGTCCAGTGGCGCAGGTTTGTACGAATCAGCCACCCGCTAAGCTGCCCCCTGAAGCAAGCTCTCTTTATTGATCAGGCCAGCTGAAGCAAAGTGATGATGTGCCTACGATTGTTGCGGTCAAGACAGAGACCACCACATCAGCTCCTGTATAGTACGGTATATATACAGTGGAATCTTGAGGTTTGCTTTCGGTGCATCCCTTATGATGCTGCTGCTGTACCAATGCACGGTATATCGAGCCAGTGGTTGTGACACAAGTTCTTTGCTTGTCACGAGCTGACTTACAACTTTGCAGCAATAGGGTCATATCTGGGGAAAGTACTACCGGTAGCAGAGTCAACTACATGAAGGAAGCTGACCCTGCTTTCTTTTGGGGTGGGCTGCTTGCTTCATCTTGGAAACTGTACTACGGGAAGGGAGACACGCTGGTGCTGCGCTTTGGTTCGGATGGAGACAACAGGTGAACAGAGTACATACCCAGACTCTTGCCAGTGGACAGTAGGTCAGAACTATCCATAGCGGTATGCTTGGTCTGGGAAGGGCGACAAAAGAACATGGCAAGGATTGGGGTGACTGACAACCATTCTCTTAGCCAGCAAGCCAGCATCTAGACATTTCGGTTCATTAAACTATTGCTTAGTTTGCTTCCATGAACAGGCATATTGCTGGATCTTTCCTTGGGGCTTTTAGAATATCTAGATGGATAGCTGTCAATGGGTCAACATGTTGTATGCAGAGTAATGTGATGCAGAGTAATGTGATGCTCGAAGTTCCTCCACTCCATACCACTCCTTTCTCTCCACTATTTCTATTTTGCCCTCCCTATATTACTTTCCTTGATGACCATTCGTCGTTTGAGTTTGAGATATCTCATTTTCAATTTATCATCGGCATCTTCTTCTGGCATTTTACGCAGCTTTGCCAAACTGGGCAGTGGCGACGCCAACGTATTGACCCATCCGGGATACTCGTTTCGGTCGAGTGCCACAATGGGTTCTTGACTGTCTTTGAAAAAGTCCATTCCCTGAATCGGAGTACCCGGTTCTAGCGGCATTTGGGATGGCGTGGTTGGTCGAGAATAATTTCGACAGCAGGTAGTGCTTGTAGCAGTTGAAATGATGGGCAGATGCTGATGTCTTGACACCAGCGACAAGCGAGCGACGCAGCTGGATATCTTGGAAACAATGTGTGTCATGGTGATGTTGGTGGTACTTCAGATGGGTGGAATCTTTCACTTCAGAACCAACAGATGCAGATGGGTTGCAGTGGTTGGCGATCCTTATGGCGTTTGTTTTGGACGACCGGCCGTCAAAGATCCAAGAAAAAGCTGTGGCCATGGTCGCTTCTTGAAGGACCAATTCATTTGCCCACTGAACAACCAATTAGCTCTAACCTTACATCACTGAATAAATGTAGAAGCAGTCATTTTGTGCGGAACAAAAGTGACCCAGTCATCTACTTACTGTCACAAGTCACAGAGAATCACGAGTAGCGTGCCAAAAATTCCAACACGGATTTTTAAAATGCTACGGGTTTGCGAGCAAGATGCCTACTAAATCGGCAGGCCACCATTAAACTGGCAGTGGCGTAGCAGACAGTTAAATAGTGGTGAATGTAATGACTATTTTGGTAATTATTGTGAGCGTCTCTACCTGGACAGTCAAAAAATGTATGAGTGTAGGATTGTACTGGAGGTCACCCGATCCCATCTTGAACAAGGAACAGCTCACCAGCAATAAGCAACCCCAACAACAAGAGCAGCAACAAAAGGAAAAGCAAATTGTCCAAGACCTGTATTCTTCCATCTCTTGTTGGCATTACAAAGACCACTCAGCAGAGCAAGCCTTGTTGTTGTTGTAGCTACTAACAGCGGTTCCTTCATTGATTCATTCACAAAGCAGTTGCATTCATTCATCCTCTTCCAAAGCCTCCTTCTCTTCTAGCTAGCTCTAGTCAGTAGTCGGTAGTAGATAGAACCCAGCAACCAAACAAGTAAGCAACCATGGCAGCCCAAATTTTGAAGAAAATCCCGCATCCCGACATGTGGCCGTTCCCGGAAGACCCGGACAACCCGCGGCCACCCCCGGAGAATCCTCCGCTTCACAAGGCACTCTGGGAGAGTGAACCCATGGAAGAATGGTCGCATTTGGTCGGCTGGAGGACGATTCGTCAACGCGACTTGAAGGGCAACTACCCACTCCACATTGCCTGTGCCACTCAAGCCGATGCCGATGTAGTCCAGTTCTTGATTGGAACTTGGCCCAAAGCCGTCAAGACCAAGAATCCCGACAATGGCAAATTGCCACTCCACGTCGCCATTCAGTTTGATGCGCCCATGGAAGTCATTCAAATGTTGTTGGATCACTACAGTGAAGCCTGTGAAGAAACCGACAAGACGGGACGTTTGCCCTTTCATATTGCCGTCGCGTACAAGCGGGACATTGAATTGCTCGAAATGATCTATGAAGAGTATCCCGGTGCCATGAAGAAAAAGACGGAAATGAGAGGTGTCATGCCACTCGAAATTGCCTGTGAGAACAAGTCGCCCATTGATACGATTGAGTGGTTGATTGAACAGCATCCCGTCGCGGCTAGTAAAGCGCGTAGTTTTGGAAAGACCCACGTCGCCATTGCCATTTCCAACGGCGCGTCCCTCGAAACCATCAAGATGCTCGTCGATCATCATCCGGAAGCGCTCTCCATGAAGGATTCCTGGGGACGCTTGCCGCTCTACCGTGCCGCGGCCGACGGCGCCACCTTTGAAATTGTCGAGTACGTTTTCAAGGAACACACCGAAGCGATCTTTGATACCGACAAGGGGGGCAATTTGCCACTCCATGCCGCGTGTCGCAATGGCGCGCCCCTCGAGATTATCAATTTCTTACTCGAACAGTACCCCGAAGGAATCAAGACGGGAGACAACAATCGATTGTTGCCACTCCATATTGCCTGCAAGGGTGGCAAGGCCAATCTGAAACTCATTCAGATTTTAGTGGATAAGTACCCCAAGGCCGTCACCAAAATGGACAAGATGGGATGCACGCCCGTGCATTATGCAAGTGAAAAGAATTCCAGTATTCTCGTCGCCCGCATGATGATTGAAAAGTATTCGCAGATTCGCATGATTAGTGACAACAAGAGTTTGACGCCCTTGCATCATGCGTGTACCAAACAGGCGCCTATCGAGATTATCAACTTGTTGTTGGATCACTATCCCCAAGCCATGAAGCATCCCACGAAAGCGGATGGACGCAATCCCTTGCATTTGGCCGTGGTCAATCGTTTGCCCGTCGAATGTGTCGAAGCCATTATCGATGCGCATCCCTACTGTGTCTTGGAACCCGATCGCAAGGGATTGACGCCGTTGCATGTGGCATGCGAAGGAAAACCATTCCGTCCCAAATTGGAAGTACTCGAGCTCCTCTTGAAGGTCTATCCCGAAGGCCTCATGGCGACCACTATTAATGGAAGTCTCCCCTTGCACATGGCCAGTCGTGGCAAGTACGCCCAAATCGAAGTCGTCGACAAGTTGGTACACGAATACCCCGAAGCCATTGATATGCTCAATGGTCGTGATGCCAAGCCCCAGCAGTGTGCGAGAGCTGCCGAAGTCAAGGAATTCTACTTGGACTACCAAAAGAAGGTCATGATGAACAAGGTCTGTCCTTGCTGGTGCGCGCATCCCATGGAAACCATTCAGGGGGAGCGGGAAAAGCGTGACGCCGAACAGGCCCTCTTGGAACAAGATGGACTCATGAAGGAAGAAACGGATGATGATGGCGAGCCCATTGACAGTCAAGATATCGCCTATCAAAAGGCTGTAGCGGCGGCGCGTCGTCGTACCAACCGGCGTCTCTTGCACATTCCCGAGGATTTGGGAGAATCCGAGAACTGGGAAAAGAGCGGTGGACTCAATGTCGTTGCCATGACCAGTGCCAGTCGTCTTCAGGGAGTTCCACCACCACCTCCGCCACCGGGTGCGCCACCGGCCGCAGGTGGTAGTGTGCCACCCCCACCGCCTGAAGATCCACCGGCATGGGTGGGAGGAGACCAAGAAGACTTTCCCGATGACCTCACCCAAGATACCACCCTCGTGAGTGAAGCTCCGAGTCGAAGCGCCCGTGGGCAATCGGCTCCTGCTCCGGTGGTGTATGAAGAAGACTCGGACGATGATCCGTCCAGCGCCATGTGCTAAGCGAAGCAAAGCAAAGCAGCCGAGTGTATAAGTAAAGGGCGCAGCACGACGAACAAACGACTGACTGACAGTAGACGGGGTGATGTCTCGAAAACGAGAGGAAAACACATAGCTTGTCGTTTTTGAAGGAATGAAAGAAGAAATGATTCAATGTTTAGGAAATAAATGAAGAAAAAGGAAAAGACGAAAGGAAGCGACATACAACAGAAGTAATGATTAATTGCATAGTAAAACCAAAGAAAAACAGAAACTATCTAGCTAGCTACGGTTGGTCAGTACGGTGAGCCCGACATACAAAAGTAAAGATTGATGGCAAGTAACCAAAGGAAATCATCAAGTAGGCCAGCACGGTGAAACTGGATCACAACTTGCACTACGGTATGGGGCCGTTTCGTCTGGAAGGAAGGTGTAATAAGTGCCTTTGTTGAAAATGACACTGGCGAATTGTTTCATGAAATTTTTGTGCCTGTAGATGCAGGTAGCCCATCATGGCATCACTGTGACAGCGTCCTAGCATGCATTCGGATGATGTCACCGTCCACCTTGCCACACAGGAGGAACATACAAAAGTAAGCATTAATTGCATAGTAACCAACATACGTAAACTAGGAGGCCAGTTCGGTGAGCCAGGATCACAACAGCAACCAGTTCAGTGACATCTGAAAGGGGGCTCTAGAATGGGGGAGTGGTCCCAACACTAACCGGCCACTGCGGTGAGCCCGACATATAAAAGTAAAGATTAATTGCATAGTATCCCAAGAAAACCACAAACTACCGGTAGTCCAGAACCGTGAGCCTGGATCCCATCTGAGAGGGGGTTCTAGAACGGGGGACTGGTCCCAACGCTAACCGTCACGGTGAGAGGCTTTTGTTCACAACCAAGTGACAGGATTTTGGATGCATCAAGCTTGAAAAAGGCATCGTGGGGTAATTGCCACCTCGCGGAACTTCCCTTCCATTTAAAGTACATCACCAGCTTGCCTTTCTTCACCATATTCCAAGTTGATTCATCCACCAAAACAGAGTTGCGCTGTTGCGTGAGCTTGCACAAATCTTCCCCAGTCATTCCTTCGATGTCCGCTCGTTTCAACTCATGGGTCACACTTTGCCCTTGACCACGAGAATCATCATGACGAACAAATCGAAAGGAGACATCATCACATCAGCATCAAGCTTCACAGCAGCTGGTGGTGCTGCTGCTGCTTCGGTTTTGATTGCAGCAGAAGGCAATACGGAACTTCTGTCAGCGGAAGGTGGCACATCTTCGCACTTGACACGAACTTGTGCCGTAGGCCTGTTGTTGGGGGGAGCAGAGGCTCCTTCTTGCGGCGATTTGCGTGCCTTCTTAGACCGGGGATAGTCGGTAATCATCGGGTTGTCGTCATGTTTTCCTTTTGCTGCTTCTTGAAAATGACACATGGGAGCGAAAAGATCGAAAAGATCGAGGTGAGATCAGCTTAAAACAAAAGCAAGAGTACGAAACTCAGCAATCTTCGCTCCGCCATACCATTAGAAGCGGCTCTTTTCTTCTTGCAAATGGGTTGCTTGACAGCGTTCATACCATCCGGGTCAATTGCATGAGTGGACAAACAGGAGTCAGGAGCGGGAGTGCTTCCTTGCACAGCCTTCATACCATCTGGATCAATTGTATTGGTGGACAAACTGGAGTCAGGAGCAGGGCTGCTTCCTTGTCTTGCCAAACCCAGCTCTCCCGTACTCATGGATTCGCTATTTTGATCTTCCTCCGCAACAGCAGCCGTTTTCTTCATCTCAATCCCCACCCTTTGCTTCTGTCGCTGAGTCTCCTTGTTTGCATGACGTCTGGGTTGCTGTACTGCTTTGCGTCGGAGACTTTCGGACCGCTGTTCATGGTCCTCTTCTTGACGATTGTCTCGGAGCGCCATGTCACGGGCGGCCATGGAGGCTACGTTTTTTGACTCCTGGAGTTCCAACGCTTTCTTTGTCTCTGCCAACTGCGCTGATAAACGCTCAATTTCTTGTTCGGCCATGGCGGCTACGTTTTTTGACACCTGGAGTTCCAACGCTTTCTTTGTCTCTGCCAACTGCGCTGATAAACGCCCGTTTTCTTGCAATGCATTGTTCAACTCACTTTTGAGCTGTTCTTCTAGATCTTGACTGCACTTCAGGGCTTTTTGAATCACGCCATATCCAGCATTGACCGTCTTCAATGAGTCGAGCTGCACTGCCAAACACTCCTGCGTTTCTTGGCTCTTCCGCAGCTCTTCTCCTTTCGAACGGCACTTGGCCTGAAGTTTTGCAATGGTACCCTTCAAATGTTGATTGCTGCGGGCCAACTCAGAATCATTGGCTGTATTTCCCTTACTGCGCTCGGATGCTCCACTCCGTTTTGGTCTCTGGTCGCTGGCTGGCTTCTCCTGCTGATTGCTAGCCATTGTGATCTTAAGCTTGTTTAGTTGTTGCTGAGTTTGTGTTAGTCGCGATTGAAGGCTGTTGCGATTCTTTTGAGCCACCCCAAGCTTTGTTTCTAGGTCAATCCGGCGAGCAAGTGCGATTTTGAGTTCTTCGTGGGCACCCTTGAGTTGCACCTGAAGCTCATTCCGTTCATTCTCAGCCCCGACAGCCTTGGCCAAAGCAGACTGCGCTTCTAACTCGGTCCCTTTGGTGCGGGCTATCTTGAGTTGTTGTTGCGCACCATCAAGTTTCGATTGCAGTTTCTCCATCAGAATAGGACTTGCTGCCACCAAGGCAGTTTGCAACCTTGTCTGATTGTCTTGCAGTTTCGTTTCCAGGTCATTTCTCTCAGAAAAGGCCGCCCGTAGTTGTTGTTTGGCAATCGACAGCTGTCTCTGTAGACCTTCTGATTCAATCTTGGCAGTCTGGTCACCTAGTGCTGTCTCGAACTGTTGTTGGGCATTCCTGAGTTTCACTTCCAAACGTTCTCGTTCAATCCCAGTTGCGTTTGCATCAGCTTGGGCAACTTGAAGCTTTTCTTCGAGGCCAGCAAGTTCAGAATGCAAGGACTTCAGCTCTTGTTGGGTAGCATTTAGTTGTGATTTTAGTTCATCTCGTTCCTTCAAAGATGCTTCATCACGAGCCTCGGCAGTCTGAAGTTTCTCATTGAGATCGGTACGTTGATTGAGGGCTGCCTTGAGAAGTTGTTGAGCACAATGTAGTTGTGACTTCAGCTCTTCACGTTCCTTCTCGGCCGCTGCTGCCGCGCTCTTGGCAGTCTGAAGTTTTCCATTGAGATTGGTGCGTTCGTTGCAAGCTACGTCGAGCTGTTGCTGTGCATCATTAAGTTGGAATTGTGGTCCATCGAATTCAATATCAGCTGCCGCCGCCTTTGTCACGATGTCAGATCTATCTCTTAGTTGCTGCAAAGCACCATCCAGTTGAAACTGCAGTCCATCCCGTTCAATTTCAGCAGCTGTTGCACTCGCCTGACTTCTATGTACCTTTCTTTCTGCATCATTCAGATCAGCAAGAGCCCCATGGAGCGTCTGTAAAGCATCATCAAGTTTCGATTGCACGTCGTCTCGTTCAGTGGCTGCTTTTTCATTGGCGGCTCGTAGCTTGGATTCTAGATCGGCCTTGTCAGCAAGTGATTCCTTGAGTAGCTGTTGAGTATCCCGCAGCTGAAAGTCTTGTTTGATGTTCCCATCGGTGGCAGCCTCAGGTTTGGCAGCCTCGCCCTCATCCTTGGTAGCAAGTGCTTCCTTGAGTAGCTGTTGAGTATCCTGCAGTCTCATTACCAGCAAATAATACATGTTCCCAGCGTTGGCGGCCTCAGCCTTGGCAGCATGGGCTTCAGCTTTGGCGGCATGTAGCTTTGATTCTAAATCAGCCTTGTCTGTAAGAGCTTTCTGAAATTTCTCATTTAGATTGGTATGTTGATTGAGTGCTGCCATGAGAAGTTGTTGCTCACAAAGTAGTTGCAATTTCAGCTCATCCCTTTCCTTCTCAGCCGCTGCTACCGCACTCTTGGCAGTCTGAAGTTTTTCATTGAGACTGGTGCGTTCACTGAGGTTTGCGTCGAGCTGTTTCTGCACATCGTTAAGTTCGACTTGTTGCCGACGCCGCATTTTTTCTGTGTTCGCAGCTTCGGCAGCCTCAGCATTGGCGGCTTTGACCTCAGCCAAGGCCCATACCTTGGCAGCATGGGCTTCAGCTATGGCGGCCTGTAGCTTTGCTTCAAAATCAGCTTTGTCTGAAAGAGCTTTCTGGACGATTCGCTTTTGATCACTATAGAGCTGTGCTAGCAAATCAACTCGTCCTTTCTTAGCTCCTGCAGCCTCAGTCCCTGGGGTTCGTACCGGCAGCTGTGTTTCGAGGTCAGGCTGTTCAGGGATTGCGAGTTCCTCCATGATTTCACCCTCTTCGACCATCATTGACTCCTTCGTTTCCGGCATCGTTGATGTTGATGTTGGAACTGTCATGATGGTTTCTCCAGATTGACGCATAGCTGCACAAGAAAGCAGTCACAAACAATTGTCAAAATGAAATCGATACAACCTGGCCAATGCGATTGAAGTCTTACCTTTCTCTTTTGCTTGTATCATAACTACAAATGAATAATAGGTATGTGGGAAATATTTCAGGCTTTCCTTGGTTTCTGGAAAATTGGATGGTATGTGGTCGGGGTGGTCTTTTTTGTACCTGTAGTGACAGGCGACCATCCAAAATTTTTTGGTGGCAGTCGCTCTGTAGTCCTTTTGTAGTTGTCTGATGTTGTCACGCATCACAGCCCACCCATGTTTTTTTGATGTGTAATTATATGGATTGACACCTCGTTTTTGCAACAAGGATGTAGCTTCAAAGTAGTCGATCTCTCCTCGTTGAACTTGCTCAAGAATATGGCAAACATCGATGTCTTCAAGGCTAATTTCGCCGAGTTTTTTAAGCTTAGACGGATGCACATCCCTGGGAAGTGGCGGTGCTGATTCTGGCCATTCGTCAAAGAACTTGTTGTTGACAGTATTGCTGGCAAGGGGAACCCCTGCATCTTCTGAATTTGCACAAGATGAAAATGGCGCAGTCTGATTCTTGGGTGGTATACTCTCTTTGTCCGCGGAGCTCACGCAGGTAACCGGAAGATTTCCTTTCTCTACATTCATGGTGGAACAGCAAAATTCCTGCCGCGTTTCTCCCCTCGCCTGTGCTTATTAAGCGCTTCCTCGTCTCTCAGGACAAGGAGAGGTTCTGGACAAGAGTAGAGTACTACTAGCTAGTAGCTACCAATACCGGTACGTCAGCACAACAACAATGATACCAACTCCAACAAGCTTTGTTCGCGCCAGATTTTCGATGCCGGCGGGTCACTCCAATGATGCCGTTACATCGAACCACGTACCGGTACCCAAAGCCGTTGTGGAGAGGGGGGTTTGCTTGGGGGAGGAGGATGGTGGGGGCTGTACGTACTCAACCTGCACTACAGACCAACTAAAGCATTGCAGGCAATAAATAGGAAGTCGTTTTGAAGTCAAGCCGCCGAAGCCTACGCTAGCTAGCGAGCCTGAAAGCCACAGAGATAGCTTGATCACTCTTACGGTACGATGGAGAGCTTCAACTCTCCGTGCAAAGCAGTCCAATGAAATGTCAACCACATTTGTTTTAAAGGGGCAAGTCTACACAGCAAGTCCAAACGGCACAATGTGCACTCTGTGTCATTTGCAAAACATATTTGAGCCTGGCTGCCCAAACAGATCTAGGGCCGTGGCCTTTTGCCTGCAGCTCGGAAATCACAATCACAATCAAGCCTCGACGGGCTCCTCCTCCTTTGCTGGGCCCAAGACGGATTCAGGCATAACAGAAGAGTGGTGGTGCGAGATCTTCCACTCATCATCTTCATGCACATAGACAAAGCAGTAGCGATCCTTACTTGGAGACAACCATGCCAACATCAAGAAAACTCAGATGCCTGAAGCGCAAGGCCCTGCAAGGCATCCAAGTCCGGTGGATCAAGGCGAACCAACAGTTGAAGTAATATTAACTTAGGAATTACACTTTCCCGGGAGGGATTATGTTCTATGGTTAGATTTGAAACAGTTGAAGTCAAATTGTCTCTCGATGGGTCAGCCAACCAGCTTGCAACAGAGGAAGTGTGACCACCAGTACCAGTTGTCCATCTGTCGTGTCTGCGATCCCAAAGGTCAGCATGACCTCATCCGCAGAAACCGCACCCAAATCGATGATCGTGGCCACTCCCTCGGCATAGATTTGTCAAAGGGAGGGACAGGTTGGTGGGAACCCATGTACACATAGCTAGATACAAATAGACCTTTTTGCATACTGATAAAGATAGAAGCTATTCAAGCATAGCTTTTGTCTACATCTGCCAAGAGCAGCCTCTAATAGGAGCTATTACTACACTGTACTGGCTTGGTGGACTTGTTTTATCACCCGATAAGCGGTTCACCAAGAGGATACTGATGTATCCAAAATGATGTACATGTAGCTGGTGGACCCATCAACCATTAGTGTTGTACCCTTCTTGGTAGTGTACTTGTATAAAAGAATGGTTCTAAGCCTATTGGCCTACGGATCTATTGGAAGATCATAGGAGCATGAGGGATTCTCTGTTGTTAGTGCCTTCTTGAGACCTCCATAGCTCCCACCTAATAGCCAGTTTTGGCTACCTGTACTCGTAGAGGGCTAAGATGTTCTCCTGTGCGACTAAACGTCATAAAGTGACTCATTTGAGTCTCGCGCCAGATGTCAGATCCCGGATCACGGGACTGAGTCCCGACTGGAGGCAATTTCCAAGCTGAAGTTGAACACACAAAGATTTCAACGGGGGCAGTAGGGAGAGATTAGGATACAAAAGGCAAGAATAGAGAGTACCTGGGCGGGTCAAAGATCAAGGCCCGCCATCGTGTGTCACAATTCCTCCTTGACACTACGAAACAAACAATATAACCATGAAGACCGCTATTCTCGCCTGCCTTGTCTCCGGTGCTGTTGCATTCGCTCCAGCTGCCAAGCCATCCACTGGCTCTGCCCTTGCCGCCAACAAGTACGCCAGTGAGATTGGAGCTCAGGTCCCTTTGGGTTTCTTTGATCCCTTTGGTGTGCTTGGAGCTGAAGACGACACTTTGTTCAATTTCCTTCGTTATGCTGAGATCAAGCACGGCCGTGTCGCCATGATGGGTGTTGTCGGATACTTGACTACCTACGCAGGAGTCCGAGCACCTGGTCACGAGGATGTCCCTTGTGGACTCGCCGCACTGAAACCCGAGAACTGGGGCAGTGAATTGGTTACCACAAACATGTGCTGGACTCTAGGCTTCATTGCTTTCTTGGAATGGTTCGTCATGAAACAGGGAGACGACGCCGCATTCCCTGGTGATCTTTCCAACGGCGTTGGCGCAGACATTTGGAATGGATATGATGAGGCCACCAAGTTGAGGAAGCGATCCATCGAGCTTAACAACGGACGCGCCGCACAAATGGGTATCTTCGGACTTGTTGTCCATGAAACCATGGGTAATGTTAATGTTCTCCTGCCTTTGGCCAAATAAATTGCCAAATAGATCCTTTCTTCCATGGCTCAGTTTTTAAAAAGTACTGTATGGTTAGCTCGCTAGTACAATTCATTTCTTGCCCTGTAGGATACTGCAGTAAGACGTGTGGATAATTATGTCTAGCTCCCAGCCACGAAGCTGGAGGAGTGGGAACAATTGTGGGAACAGCAGAGAGACCGAAGGGGTGACCTGGAAGTACTAAGGACAACGATTCTGTTGCTGGTAAGCCGAAGGGTGCTTCATCAGAATTCAGGGTCTTGATCAAGACCATGCGCAACTCTCAATTGAGCATACTGTCATTCCTTGACGTAGCTACGACTAGTAGTCTCTCGGAGGACACTGATAATCGTTCAAGTCAACCATGCCAGGATCTAGAAATCTCGGATGCCTGAACCACAAGAAATCCAAATCTGGTGGCTCATGGCGAAATGCAGCTGCAGAGAAATTCCAGGCAATCAGAGAAACTACCCAGTGCTATGAAAAGCTCCAAGTCAACGTGATGCAAGAGGACCAATGGCTCTTCCAAGTACCAATCCTGACAATTGATCCACCAATCCACCAATGCAATGAGACAATGGCTCAATGGCTGGAGAACCAAACTGAATGAGAGTTACAAACCCGGTTCGAGACCAGGTAGGTGAGGTGTTTCCCTTCCATATCCCACTTCCTCCATCCGCACCCGTGAAACTCTCTCCAAAATCCCGAGGATACCCCGGTGAATCCACTCACTCACCAAAAAATAGCGTATAGTACAATTTTACATACACCTCCTGGGGGAGTGTGTAGCCGGTGAGCCACTGGGATGGGAATCCATCATGGTATGGTAGCTGTATCTCACAAACTTCGATTGTGTGGACTGTCGCCTGGGGCCTCGTGCCCCTGACCAGATGATTGAACCTTCCGCTGGAACCGTTATAGATGTTGACTTGTTTGTTTGGTGGCTCAAGGTGTCTGTTTGGCGGCTCAAGGCGGAACCAACAGTGCCTCTCGATGCGTCAGCCAACCAGACGTCGATGAATCTCAGATGCAAGGAAGCCAAAACGCCAATTGCCTAAATGCCCTGCGAGACATCCAAGTCCCATGACTGTCACTCAAGGCAAACCAACAGTGCAAGCCAAAGTGCTTCTTGAAAGGGCTCTAACCAACCGGCCGTACATCTGGCTGCAGTGTGGCGAGTGGCTCCTCCAAACTTCAATGAAGAGGAACTTTGACCGCCAGCGCCTGTTGGGAGTACCGGCACACTCTCTCTTTCATTTTTCCAGCATTTGCGTGTTTTGCCTGGATTTGCCATTTTCTCAGGCTTTTTCTTTCCATTCGTGTTTTCCCTTTCAGCCAGAACTTGTAAAGGAATCAGTTTGCTACTCTATTGGCTTCTTGGATGATCAGAGGATGCTCTGTTTCTCAGCTGCTTCTTGATTCTTGAGACCTCCCCATCGTAGCGGCTACAGTAGCTGGTCCGGAATTGTTTGACGTGGATCTGACTTGATTCAATCCTTTGAACTTCGAGCACCGAACATTGAAGAAGGGCGATGGTTTTCAGGTCCACTTCAACTATCATCCGGTTGGCCTTTGCTTCTCATCGATGCAAGCTACGGAAGCCTCGTTGCCAGCTAGTGCCTCGTGTCTGGGAGCCATTTTTGGAGATAGCTCCATTTGGCACCACCTCTAATATAGACATCTGACTGCTCTAATAGTGAGTCTAGGCACTGCGTTTGACCAAAAGAGCTTT